GAGGGGGCGGTTCACCCTCGTAGCCAAAAATCACATTCCTGCCGACCCCTCGAAATTACCACTGCGTGGTACCGCAGTAGAATTCGCATTCCCATACGCGCGCCAATCCACCATGTACAGTCTCGTGCAATAATTATACATCGTTCCACGTAAGCGAGGGGACAGCTCGACTCGACTCGAAATAAAAAAAGAAGAAAAAAAGAGAAAAAGAAAAGGAAACTCTCTTCAACGTATCATCCTCCTTCCACCTTCAATTTTCAAACGATCGACACTTAAAAAAAAAAAAAAGAAAAAAAATAAAGAAGGAAAATTAAATAAAATTAAATAAAAATTCTTCCGTAAATATCAAATATTTACGCAAGAAAAACAAAACATGTTGTAGCAGGCTGTACGACACGAAGAGTTACGCAAAGTACACGAATAGTCACGCAAGTTGCGTGCACGAGCGGGTAATGCAAGCGCGCGCACAGTGATTTCCACCCTCGATGACCGCCACATCGACGATCGCCGCCCCTTTCCACACAACCAGATGGGGTTCTCACGAGTCACCCTTAATACATACGCTCATAATCGGGCCCGATAATGCACGCTGTCACAACACGCAAACAATAGCCCGCGGCCGATTGAAGAATCAAAGGATTACCCGGGATCTTCTCTCCTCTTGGGGGGAGGGAGAGGGTGGTTTCGCTCTTGAACGAGAGAGAGAGAGAGAGACATAATAGCAATTCCCCCGTGATCCAATTTGATCGAATAAAATATTTATACATTTATCCAACGAGAACTAGTCGCTCGGAAGAAAATAAGACGGGCGCGTTTTACATGCATAATTCAACCCGATTTAAGGAATCAAGGAAGTTAATAGATGGTGAATAGCAACAAATGTAACAAATCTAAGTGATCCGTACGATTTTCTATTTCTCGTCCAAGAGTGATATTCGTTCGATGCCTGAACTGAAAGAGATGAAAAAGTTGAGCGTTGAGATGGAAAAATTACCCCGTGAAATTTCACGATTTGCGCGTCTCTCGAACTTGTCTCGTCGCGAGGACAGCCGTCACATTTTTATCTGTCCCCTCGTTGTGGTGGTGATGGTGATGGTGGTGCAACGCGGAAACGTGTTTCTGCTCCATGAGAGTGAGCGAGAGAGAGAGAGAGAGAGAAAGAGGCTAAAACACGGTTTAATCGACGATACACAGATGACAATAACGGTGAAAACTCGCGGTATTCGGTAAATAGAAAAGGGGAAGGGGAAAAAAGACAAGAGGGAGAAGAAAAAGAGCGCGACAGGAGAGAGAGGGGAGAAAAAGAAGAAGGAGAAGAATCGAGGAGGGTGGTGGATGGGTTGGGTGGATGTGCGTCGAATAAATTTCCCGCGTGGATAATGTATCGTTCACCGTGAATGGCCGACGAAAGCAGTGACTCGTTTTATCGTAAAACCAACCGCGATGCGAATAAATTTATCGACACACGTCGTCCCGCTCGACGACGTGCCGTCCGCGTCTCGCCTCGTGTCCATCGTCTTTGTCCTCCGTTCTATGCCCACTCGAGTTTTGTCGGCGCTGATAATGACCAGTTGTTGTTGCACTGGTTGCACTTTCACGAGTGTATATACTTTTTCTTTTCTCTTCTTCTTCTTTTTTTTTTCTCTCTCTCTTTTTTTACGACAACTTCCCTCGAGAACGACGAGATGATATGGGAGAGATGAAAAATCGATAACGAACAGATGTTTGACGGCAATAATTAATATCGAAGAAGGGACCCGCTTGATCTTCGATAATCTTCCAAAGACCGAGGATCTCGGTAATTCGACGCGAAAGTATAACACCTATTGCAAAATTTCGTACGAAATTTCGCTTGAAATTTGTTTTTCAAAATGATAACGATCGTTACACGTCCTTCGCGAGAAGCATAAAATTATTAAACGTGTCCGTGCTCACGAATGCACCAGCTGCATTCCGCGTGTATATAAATATATACGTATATACAGTGTTCCAAGCATACTTGTTATTTTTTCGCAAACTCGAACATTTCATCGAACGCCGCGCATTATTCCCTTCAACGTGCACAACGATGATTAATTTCGGATCGAAGCGTCCGAGAAGCAATTTTAATTCAATTTGTCCCTCGAGCAATTTCAATTTCGAGTGTAACCGAAATTTTATTTTTCTCTTCTCTGTTTCCAGGGCCGAGAGTGAGCGCAAAATGTTGAATCCAGAAACCGGCTGTTACTCGGAATCCGTTCGGGCATGGTGAGTAACGCGATCAAATAAAAAAAAAAAAAGAAATCGGAATTAGGGGTTAATTTACTCGGGTCCCGGCCGCAAGAATGTGTTTACGTTCGAACCAGGCATAAGCGTCGCCCCCTAATCTCCCTCGAATATCTTGGCTCGCGTGCCGCGCGTGTTCTCATCAGCGCGTAATCTTAATTAAGTACAAATCGCTCCGTGTACGACGACGCGCTACGCGTCCACCTACCTTTTAGATAATCGTTCGACTTCCCTTCCTTCTCGCCACGTTCACACTCACGTTTTTTTTTTTTCTTCTTTCTTTTTTCACGAATAATCTATCCATTATCCCGATACGATTATTGTCACGATATCGCGAACAGAGAACGCGAAGTACAGATAGGAATGGGCAAGAGAGGTAGGACTGCTGTCTACGCGACTCAGTGTTATTCGGTCGTCGTTTTATATTTAAATAGTGGTGGATGTGAAAGGAACATAATTATTACAAGAGTAAAGGAACTCTTTGTGTGTCAGGTCAACTCAGGTCGGTTGAACTTTATGCTAATCAGGCGTGAATCGATTTTTCGAAAGCAAGCTCAACTTTTGCTCACGATTATCGCTTCTTGTTCTCACGTTGTTGTTGTTGTTGCGTTCTCTACGTAATCATTGTGCGCGTTCTCGAACACGCGTACATTTTTAAACATCCCTCCTATATTTCTCGTTCATCGATTTAAGGAGATCGAAGATCGAAGATCGAAGATTTGTATCGAAAAAGAAGTCGAAAATGAAACGGAGTTCGATCGAAACTTGGTTCGAATTAATTGTGAACGCGTTACTTTTTCACGGATTAAAGCGAGATTATCGAGCGAATTTCCATTAAAAAAAGACACGTCACGTGGGCGCGTTCGTTCAAACACGTGAAGACGTGTTTTTCTCTTTCTTCCTCATCCTTGTTTGCAACAATACGGTATCTTCGTTGATAATGGCCACGACTCGGCCACTCTTTTCTTCTTATTTTCTTTATATCAATGTTTATAAGCCGGAAATCTTTTCATCGTAAGGGGAGAGAAGAAGAAAAATGTCTCTCTTTCTGACAATTAAAAAAAACGCGAAAGGAGGAGAGAAGAGAGTTGAAAAAAATTCCGCCGTTCAAATTGAATCATTAGCGAGGTGGAGGAACGGTCGATCGGGCGCTGGTTTTCGGCTTAATTGAACGATAATTCGCGGAACGGTGCATTCCGAGAGAGAGAGAGAGAGAGAGAGAGAGAGAGAGAGAGAGAGAGCGAGAGAGAGAGAGAGAGCGAGAGAGAGAGAGAGAGGCGTAGTTTTCGCGTTGCGAACAGGAACCGGCCGGATCAGCCGTAAATATGCTGGCAAGGAAACAAACAGGGCCGCGATTCAGTCCAAATTGCGCGCATGAATTTTAACGAACGGTGGTCGGGCCGATTTTGCACGGCAGACTCGAAATATCGAACCGATTTTTCATAATTCAACCCGTGGCCAGGCGCAAAATTCAATCGGTCCCCGCGCGCCCACTCCCCTCCCTCCACACGCCCGTGTTATTTCCGCGCTCGTTTTCGTGTTTTTTGCCATTATGCCGGCAAAGGTAATTTCCCAGCTCCGACCGCTGCTGATGTATTTATAACGAAACGAATTAAACTCGCCGGCCAGCGAATAGGTAACAAAACGCCCCTGGAACCGGACTCTCTCTCTCTCTTTCTCTCTCTTTCCCTCTCTCGCGGTCCGAAAATAAAATATCCAAATATTTGCAGGTTTAATTTGAACCAAGCTCGCCTCCAAGCAACCAGTTTTAATAATGAAACGTCGTATTGTACCTGGCAAGGGAGGATTGCCTGTTGTTTGCCTCTCTCCTCCTGTTCCTACCTCCCGTCGTCCACCGCGTGATTTTTCAATCCTTCCGATTGCCCTTGCTCTTTCTATATTCTATATGCAAGGGGTGGGTTTCGTGAAAATTTTCCCGAAAGTTTCGTAAAGTTTTTCGATTCGATTTCGATGGCCGATTTCAATCTTTGTCGCTGAGAATTATTTGCAAAAAAGAAAAAAAAAAAAAAAAAAAAAAAAAAAATAGAAAAAAAAAAGGAAGAAGAAATAACTGCTATAATTACTAACCACTATATTAAAATCGAACGATAATTTCGAGATAATTATCACACCTAGTATTTATCCATTCTTCGAATTCATGGAATGCGAAAATAAATTATAAAATCCTTGGACGATCGAAATTACAATGAGCAAAATAACAACGATAAATACCAAGTGTGATGCATACCTAATAATAACTGACGATTACATATGACGCACACGCTGCTATACACGCGTGCTTAAAGCAAAATTCATTGTACTATTAACAACCATTTTGACAAATATCTTGAAAATATCTGACTGACTATATACATATAAGGAAAAAGTTGTTCGAAATTTCGTAAATAATTTAAAAATCCACGCTTCCCCTCAGATTCTTTTTCCTTCTTTTTTTTTTTTTTTTTTTCTTTTTGTTTTCAAACGCAAGCACGCAAAGAGGCGAATAAGAAGAATAAGAGAGAAAAGTGGAAGAGAAGGGATGATCGAAGTGTTGGCCGGATGAAAAATTTGTCGACGTGCCACGTGTTCGCGCGTTCATTCGTATCGGCGAGAAACCGCTTGGAACGGCGGAGAGCAAAGAAATATATTTAGGCGGGTTTGTCGAGGAGGGGGTGGAGAGGGGGAGGGATGGTCGATTTATCCGCAATCGCGGCGTTGCTTTTCTCGGGACATTAGGGACACGA